AACTCTATTGTTCTTTCAATCACTTTTACCTGGAAATCCAACTTCAACCATACCTGCATGCACTCCCATACTAATATCTGGTTTTACCCTTAATTGCTTTCTCTTGAATTCTGTACTATCTAATTCTGTGTATTCCTAGAAACTAGTGTCTTCACCCTCTCTCTCACTACTTTTCCTTCTAGAACATTCTATCAAAATTACTAACAACCCTATCCTATAAATACTCTAAAATTTCTTATCTCAAGACAGTCTCTCGTCTACCGCTACTACCACCTTTCGTAAGTGCCTTTGCCTATTTGCTACATTGTTTCATTTTTGTTGTCTTTGTTATTGTTATTGTTATTGTTGTATTATCTTGTTCTTTCTGTTACCTTGTTCTCGTTTGTTTGTTTCACTCTTTGTGCTTTTTGTTACTTGTGTTTTCGTTTTGTTCTGGTTATTATAAATTGTTATTTGTTATTATTAGTGTTTTTTTGGTATTTAAGTAATACCCATCAAAAGACACTAAACAACAAAAGTAATGCCAAAAAGGACCTATTCGGCACCGCACTCGAAAACTGTTGGCACCATCAGATTCTACGTACTTTTTTACATAATTATCGCTTTTCAAAGTTTAACAAATTCCTTACATCTCCCAATAATTTTAAGAGCGCTTTTTTAAGTTTAAATTATTTCATATATCTAATTATTTCAACAAAAGTAATGCCAAAAAGGACCTATTCGGCACCGCACTCGAAAACTGTTGGCACCATCAGATTCTACGTATTTTTTTTACGTATTTATCGCTTTTCAAAGTTTAATAAATACCTTCCACCACCCAACAATTTCAGAAGCGCTTTTTCGTATTTAAATTATTTTATATATTTCGGTTTCTTCCTTGAAATGTAAATGAGAGATAAACATTTAGGTACTTACATTATTGAAAAATCGCTAAAAGGAATACCTTCATAAAAACTTTTTTTATTAAGTATCAGTTTTTCAGTAACACAAAAGCACGGTAACTTTTATTATAATATTGTAATCGCGAGTATTTTATCGCGTTCGGTATTGTTCTCAACAAACGTCTTTTTTTCAATTACTTACAGGAATGTTCGAGTTTTATGGCAACTTACTTTTAGAATGTATGACAAAGAGGAATAACAGTATAAAGTGAGATAAATGATACACTTATTCTGACTAATGTGTTGTAATAAAACAGTTGTAAGGAATTTTAGACGAGGTTCATAGGCGTATCAAACAATCGAATAGAAGTTTAGGGAGCATAACCAAAAATGTTATTAAATCGAAGAGAAAACAAGACGAATCCCTTTTTATTGAAAGGATATTATTAAAAAAACAATAAAAATACTTCGAGTGGTCGAAATTCACATTTGTGAACAAAATACTATGACGTTATTATTTAAATTATGATTTTCAATTATTTATTTCAATTTACTGTCTCCTTCCGACGAGTCGTTCCAAGTACGAGAGCTCAGTTGTTTCTTACGTCGGTTAGTCATTCTACGTAGCAGGACTTCAGACGTTTCTTACGTCTTTCACCGCGCCAACAAACTAAAAATTGCCGCAAAGTATCGAGGCACAATTTTCATCAGAAGTTCGAAAACGACCGTTCTTGGCAGCACCTGCTGGGTTGTTAAAGCAAGATTGTACCATACAATGGGCGGCACTATTTCAATTCAATGGCGATCATTAGCAAGAATTGATTTGCATCTAAATTAACAATTTTTTGTGTACAATTAAGTTATAAACAGATACAACAACACACGAAGAAAACTAAATTTTTATGCCAACGCAAAAATTACAATTTTCGATTGTAAATGAGGGAATTTCAAGTTTCTAAATTTATTTTTGCTGGAATTTCATTTCAAAGCAACGGGCTGGTGGGATNACGAATCCCTTTTTATTGAAAGGATATTATTAAAAAAACAATAAAAATACTTCGAGTGGTCGAAATTCACATTTGTGAACAAAATACTATGACGTAGTGTCGGCCATCATTGTTTTCTAATTGTTGCAGTTGTCGGCCATCATTTTTTTAATTGTTGTCGCATTGTCACTGAGGTCGGCCATCATTGTTTTTCAATTGTTGTCGCATTGTCACTGATGTCGGCCATCATTTTTTTTCAATTGTTGTCGCATTGTCACTGATGTCGGCCATCATTTTTTTTCAATTGTTGTCGCATTGTCACTGATGTCGGCCATTATGGTTTTTTAACAGATGTATAGTAATCATTGATTAAAATTTAATGAAATTGTTTTTAAAAAGATATACAACAAATCCTACACTTCAGCATAAGAAATTGCTTTCATTTACGTAATACTACTAATCAAATAAAATTGAATCTGTTCTAAATATTTAATTTAGTCGAAGTACAGATAATAAGAGGTCTATAACATTCAAAAATAGGTATTTTGGTATTATTTTATTTTTTAACTGTACCTACTTATTACTTCAACACCCCGCCTATGCTTCGTATTTATAAAAAGTGTTACCTTATTTGTGCAGTTAATAAATTTTTCATCGATGGCAGCACCTTCCTGTACGTTCTTAAACTCGAAGAAATGGGCGGTGCTTATCGAATCAGTGACATTCGTCTTTACAATTCCGGAGCAATTATTATACCACTAAATGCAACAAATACGTCGAATAATGAGCTAACTAGCCATAAAGGCTTAATGAACAGATAAAAAACAACACTAAAACACTTATGTACTTCTTAAATATAATGAATTCATATTTTTTATGGTAAATTTACTGTTGGGTGCCAACTCATTGACTGTAGATACGCCTATGTTTAATACTTTCGGGCTAATAGTTCATAAATAGCTCGGTGGCGGCAGCACGATCCTAGTTAATTTGGATAAATCGTATGAGTTGAGCGTTTAGATCAGAGAGGACGCTTAATAGAGAACTGATGGTGCAATCTTTCACTATTGTTTCACAGAGGGCGGCATATGTACGAATTTGAAATTAATTTCCATTTAAATGAATTATAGGATATGCAATATTGAAAATCATATGCTGCTTTTAATTTTATAAACATTTAAAAAAATATTTCAGATTGAGCCTGTAGGAATTCAAAAAGTGTTGCCAGGACTTTCTGTACTAGTAAATGTTCTGTTTGAACCTGGCGACCGTGATTATTTATTAACAGGCATCATTTGTTTCCTTTCTTACGCCCCCAATGGACCCCTGTTCCACATTGCTGTGCCCTTCAAATGTAGCCCCTTTTCACCGGAAATTGTAATGTCCACTTCCGAGATTATTTTTGAAAAAATGCCAATATGGAAAGCTACAAATCCCGATCAACAGTCAAAGGGAAAAAAGATAATTGTAAATTAATTATTCTGACGAAATTTTTGATATAAGTAGTTATAATTATATTGCAGTTGAGTAATATCGGAACCAAGAAGTGTTCAGTGTCCATCACCAAAATCCAAGACCCATTGGAAATAGAACCGAAATGGATCTTCCCCGAAGAAGTGGAGGAAGTCGAAGAAGAAGAGGAACGCGTGGCTGATGGTAAGGTTAAGGGTAAGAAAAAGGAGGGTAAGCCGAAGAAAGAAAAGAAAGATAAGAAAGATAAAAAGAAAAAGGACAAAAAGAAGGACAAGAAAAAGGACAAGAAGAAGGATAAGAAGAAGGATAAAAAGAAGGACAAAAAGAAGGGAAAGGGGAAAGGCAAAAAGAACAAAAAAGACGAAGAAAAAAAGAGAAAAAAAATGGCAATTGAACTAGAAGCAAAATTTTTGCAGGAACTATTAGATAAGTATATGCCACAACCGCCGGTGGTTGAAGAAGAAGAGTTACCAATCGAAGCCCCTTCAAAAGAAATGGTGAAACTGGTCCACGAATGCGTTGAAAACGCTTTTAATACCTTCGTTTTCGACACATGCTGTTTCACGTTAGAACCGAAAAGCAAAAAAGTTATAAAAGTTTATTTTAAAAATATAGACTACGCCGGCTATTACCACGAAAAATTTTGTTTGAAATTCTTCGAAGATGTCGACAACAGTCCGCAGTTTTTCTGCATAGGAACAAGGGTGATGCCAAAATCAGACAATATTACAATTTTAATGATCCCAATTAATTTTAGGATCTAATTATTCACGGCGAAGTGACAGGCAATTTTATCATAGTGTCTCCCGTAACACTGGACTATCGCATTTGCGTCTACGACTCGTTGTATCAAGTGGAATTCACCATACACAACACCGCCAATATACCCCATGGTTTAACGGTAAAAGTACCATCAAGTTTGAAAAAATATTTGTACACAAATGGTACAGATTTTTACGTCCCCTCTTGTCAAACGCGAACTGTTTTTTTACGATTTTCGCCAAGGTATTTGTCATTTGTTTATAACTATTTTAAAATTTGGTAATAACCTAGACAGGCCCGGTAGATTTTTGGGTATTTTACTAGAGATGTCCAAAAGTATTTAAATTCAAGATGCAAAAACTTTTCTGATTGGTTATTTTAATTGTAAAATACAAAATAGGTTTTCCTTTTTTGTATTTTAAATATTAAATGCAAAATACGTATTTTTAAAATACCTTTTTCAAAAAAATACTTTTTTGTGGTACCTATTTAATTTTCTACATTTACTTAAGTATAAAATNAGTGGTGTTTCCACTATATCAGCAGCTGCGAAGATTAAGTATGACTTATATTTTTCAATTTGAAGCGATTGAAATATAGTTTTTCTATGTTATAGTTTCTTCAGTTCGGCAACAAATAATTCTTATATATTCTTCCTTATTTGCCTTTGTCACCCGTTTTAATTGAAAACAAAAGACACTGATGCCAAAATAGTTTGTTTAGCGTGAAAGATCAGAGCCAAAATAGGGTTGCAAAGAATTTTATTGATATAAAATCAACACCAATCATTTTATATCAAAATATTTACAACCCCATTTTGTTTCCGATCTTTTACACATTGTAATAAGAGAAAGAAATGGAATCCATAGTTTCTTTAGCTTCGGGTTCATCTAATAACTGAAGTTTTTCGAATAGTTTTCTGATTATTTTGGATTATAGGCATTTATTAGCACACCACAATATCTTGTAGTTTTAAGTTTTACATAGTTGACGTATATCAATTCTGTTTTGTCGTAATTCATAGAATTTCGTAGTTCTTTGCTAAAGGTAAGACAAGTGGTGATTTGGCAGGGGTTGATATCAATTTGGAACTTCAAAATTCCATGGACCATGACATTGAACCCGGAAAACAATATCGATCCAATATTTTTGATTATCCATTTCCAAGGAGTTTAGATTTTTTTGGGTTCTCTTCAGTTAAACTATTAGAAAGCATTCACGGAATGTCTCTTTGACTCCTTTTTAAGCTTCTAATACCTTCAATGGTCAATGTGATTAACTTCCATTCATCAATTTATATAATGTTTGATCGTTGATACTAGCAAAAACTTTAACGCCAAAAATATATTTTGCATTTTACAAATAGAAAATATGTTTGGAAAAGTACTTTAAATAAAATACAAAATGCTTGTCTACAACTTCTTTAGCATTAAGCATGAGCAATATTGGACTTTTGTTCAAATAACTACCCCGTATCGGTAAAATGCGAAAGCAACAAAAGCTGAAGTTCGCACCCTAAGAAAAGACATTCGGTATAATTACTCTGATCTTTACGTGATCGAATCACATAAAAAGATAGAAAAAGTTACTAACCGAATATGATCTACCGGGTCTGGGTCTAGGACTAATTCTCCTCCTTCGATGAGAACACCGACGGAATCATTTATCCGACGTTTCGTGACCCGCTATGGTCCTCAGCGAACATAGCCTCGAACTAGTGTCAAAACAATTTTTGCTCAAAAATAGCGACAACGTAAAATCCTTATCACCGAAGGAGGATAATCCGTCCTAAATCATGTCCATGAAGTCCATGAAAGCCTTATGGCAGTCTCATCGAAATCAAAAATATTAAATTTAGAAAAGAAATAGTAACGGATAAAAATCGATACTTCAATTCCGAAACGTCGGTGTTGGAGTTCCCCATATACGTTGCGGTGGTGTCAAAAAGCTTTTTGGACACGCCACCAAGTCGTGTTACCGTCTACGCAATTTTGACCGAGCCGAATGGGGTTATTTTGACCCCCGAAGATATCCAGTACACGGAAATAAACGAAAACGACGAATACGTGTTAAATTTGGGCGAATGTTCGACGAAAGAAACAATTTACGCGAATATAAACCTCACCAACACATCACTCGCAGTACAGCATTTCGGTTTCATAGATCTCCCCGAGGTAAATGAGAATTTCTTTACAATTTAATTGAGTCAATAATATATTACCGCCAGAGCGTTATTATAACCCCCAATTACGGCTACGGAATTATTATGCCCCTCGAGACGAAAACTGTCACCCTGATGTACTCTCCCGAGTCGAAAGACATTGCCAACTTTTTCATTGAAGGTGAAAATGCAATCAGGGATATTATTTTCCCAATAAACGTGGAAACTGTTAAGAACAAGGGAGGAATTCGGGACGCAACAAAAAAACTATCGGTAAGTAACTTGTGCCAAAAAGTATTAAACTGGGACGATAACAGTCTATATTGTATTATCGTAGAGTCCGTTCACTTAGAGAAAGGTACACCATGCGCGCGGACTGTCTTAATGGGCGTAACTATTAGAAGTTATTTACGGTGCAAAAGGCTTACGATTGGGTTTAGATCGGAAACATCTGACGGTCAACGACCCGCCATATTTCGAAGACCCGCCTACGACCGATTTTCGTTTGTTCGCATCGCTCGCACTGATGTACTTTTCTCTAAGCGAATGGACAATACCTCTATAGACGTGAAAACCACAAAATTATAGTGACTTTAATGATAACGGCAAGAAATCTTATTACTATTTTTAGAAGGTGTTAAAAAATTCTACCGACATTACGGAAAACGACCTGCAAAAAGACACCAGCTCGCAAATGTATCAAGAAATCATTTGCTGTCTGCATCGACTGACAAATCCCGATTATTTCAATAGTTTATCAACTTCCGATACTTTCACTTCGCTAAGTTTGAATTGGAAAATACTTGCAAAAAGTGGTAAGGTAAAATGCCCCATTCGCCATTTCCTGACAATTATCTAACCCCATGAACATTAAGCAAAAATGTCGGCCAACGAAGTAGACGGAGCGACAACGGACAGTTTAGCGAGTTATAAAATGACGGCCGAATCCAGTAGGCTTTGGCTGATGGTGAAAATCATCATCCCGTACAGCGATTTATCGCATCAGCTGGTCAGATTCCCGGACACACCTTGTGGATCCTATTCAATGGCTCGGATCGACTTTAGAAATTTCGTACGTCTCGCCTACGAAGCACACTGCATCTGCGGATACGTCCAAAGAAATACGAAAGCCAAAAACTACAAGTGTGCCATGAAGTTTGAAATAGCAGGTGATAATTCACAAATCACCGTCGAACCATTTTGTGGTAATTTGGATCCGGACGATGAGGTATATATATATCGGGTTGTTCGGAAAGTCATTTCGTTTTTACCCGACAGAGGATTTAATTGTATTCTTTTGCACCCAACTTCACATTTAAGCCGTATAATTTTTATATGCTTTGAGAGCTCATATAGCAAGGCTTGTGTGTGAAAAATTCCAATTAATTCTACGCAGTAGTTTTTGGTTGGTG